AAGAAATCGGAACGTGATTTGCTTGGATGTGAATAGTAATAAAAATATATAAAATACGAACCCATTAAATATAAAGGATAAAGTTTTTGGCGTTGGTCAATCCCGTCTGAGGGATGCGCTTGGTGCTTTTATCCTTTTGGGTCAGTGCTTTTATCCTCCCAGACGAGACTGGTACCAATTGACCGACCCTGGAAGGATGGAAGGTTTGATTAACCTAGGCGGGCATCGATCCGGGATTCGAACCCGTGACAATATGTGCGAGAAATTGTTGCCACTACATCACCGTAAGGTTAATTATGTTACAAACAACATTTGACTATTACTCTTCCACCTCTTTACCAATAGTACCGTCGTTTCTAAGCAACAAATCATCTTTAAGTTTGCAGAGTTGAAGCTCAGTTGATTTATGTTTTACAGGAGAAATCATGGACGATTTTTGTAGTCAACTCATTGGCCGTTGATTGGGCCATTGTTGCTAGTCAAATTTTCGGAAAATTCTGCGTATTTCTGTGAAAATTAAAAATATTCTGGCTACATAGATAAGATCAACCCTTTATTTGAAATATTTTCCTAAGGATTTCGATGGCGTGGCGTAGCACAACGTGGCGTAGCACGAAACCAATAAGCTACGCTCTTTTTAAGCACATCTATCGAATCATCTTTTAGAATTTCCCGAATTCCTCAGAAACACTCCGTCTGATCCCTCTCATGTCTGCCAATCTCTATCTGACCAGTTGTTAACATCTTGAAGTCTAGTCGCCGTTGGACGCTACCGGATTTCTGATTGTTGTTGCAATACTCTCTATCTATTTGTAGGCAATGGCTCTTCAACTGGCTGTCGTTGTGTTGCTGTGCTCTTTGATGGCCGTCACGATGGGGCAGCAGGTATGTGTGTTTTTGCAGTATCAGATTCTCCTTAAGAAAACCACCAGATAATTGACTGATGGCTCGTTTAATCTGAGTATTCGTTCAAAAAAAAAACAATCAATCGGTCTACAAATAATTCTTCCTTTTACCCGAGCGGTTAATGTGACGGCGGTATTTCGAGCACCCTGATTTTGCTTCATTTTGTTGTGCTTTTCACTTTCAATGCTGCATTTGTTTGTGGGCTTGTGGGATTGATTTGTTTACCTGATTTTACAATTGTTATAGATAACTGAAGAGTAGCGGTAGCAATATCAAAAACAAGAGCGTCCCATAGGGATATGCAACCTTGCAGTGGCACTACTTACGAAACAAAATGTAACTTGCGCTGATAACTACACATCAGCAAGTTCTTAGTCCCACGTGGGCGAATGTTTCCCTTCTTTTTTACCCTAATTTTCTTGTTCTTTCCAATCGCTCGTATTCTCTACCTGAGAACGGTCCAAAAAAAAANAAAAAAAAAGAAACGGCTTTTCTTTTCAAGGCAAAGCGCACATTCAAAACTAAAGCAAAGCACAAAAATCGTCAAAGAGCTTTTCTCTCTCTCCCCCCCTCCCCCCATCCTTCCCCCACCACCATCTCCTCCCACAGTACTTTCAAATCTTATACCTAATGAAGTGGTTAGTATGCTCGGGCGCAGACACCACCCAGATTTTTCGTTATACCATATTCTCTACATTTTGATTTACGGATTTTCAAAAGTGTGCCGTATAACTAGACGGATTCATCACACTCAGTTGATTGCTTCTATTCCTGTCATCCTCAAACAAATTTTTTTCCCTTCTAACTCTTCTAACTACTCTGTAAAGCAGCTGATGCGTCTGAAAATGGCTTTTGTCAGTCTTGTTACTAGTTTGTACAAATTGGTTGGGGAACGCCTGTTTACACAAACGGCGCTTTGTGAATAATATGGTCAGGGAGGAATGGTGTTGAAAGGAGGAATGTGCTGATAAAGGCGATCAGGGGAGGATGGGAGCAGCTAGGAGTGTTGAAGAAGCTCAACCCACAGGATTCGCTATGGCTTTCGCATTATCAGCACCACGGCTTCTGTTAATCGAGGATATCGAGTGATAGGAGGTGATTACAATTGATGAAGTTTGCGGCAAGGACTTAGAAAGGTAAATCTTTTGAAATTGTCAGTCTGCTCTCGTATGTAGCGCTACCTACATTCGTAAGTGATAGAGAGGTGGGAAAAGGAGGAAACCGTGGACAGTAGGAAACAACAACAACAACAACTAATAAATTCTGATAATTGATGGTAGATAGCGAACGCGCCACGAAGCTCGTGACTTTTTTCCGTGACAGGGTGCCACTTACACTGTAAATAGTAGGGATGACAAGATAGAGATGTTGACAGTGGACAACAGAACCTGAAGTAGACTTCTAGCAGAGCTTCTATAAAATGCAGGGAATGGAGATTTTCTTCACTCTTCGTGGTTACCCTACGACAGCCGTAACTCAAGTTCAGAATACAAGCTAACTACGATAAAATTTCATTTCAAATACTATAGCCTTCCGACCATTCCCACATTTGGAGTCTGGAATGTTGGGGTTATCCAGTTTTAGGCGAATAATGGAAGTGGTAGTCCAGAATAGTGCAAAGTGGCGAAAACAGCGAAACTCGGCGTCTTCGAAGAAGTATATGACCTCAAAAAAGCACTAAAACTAAGGATTCTGCGAAAATGTTACGACGAAAGATGCATAAAAGGGATATTTGGACGAGCTGTCCGAGTGTGGTTTGCCATCCTTGAGATCACAGGTTCATATCATAGAGACTCCTCAGAAACCATTCTTATCAGGTAACCATAGTACCAATGACACTGTTTTAGGCGTTATTCCAGGAAAATTAGACGCACATGACCCTGACCAAAGTGATAAAAAGTAAAAAATACAGTTTTCTGGCATTAACCAACCCGTTTCCGTGATGCGCTCTGCTATTCAAGTTCCATTCAAAACGATGAAAGCATTTATGGCCTGTGGGTGTGGTGCAGTAGGAACGAAATAGTCGCATCGCGGTGGGAGAGACGCCGCGCGCGAAGGAATGTAGCAGAGCGCATCGCCAAGTAAGAAATTCAGAAGCAAAAGAACTAACAGTAGAATCATGTCAAAAGTAATAATCGCATAGCGATTGAGCTAAGAACGCTAGAACTGTTATAATAAGTAAATGGTACGCAACAGCCGCGTGCGGCGGATTGAGATACGGAACACAAAACCGTTCCTACTGCTCGCCTCCTATGGCCTGTAATATAAATTGCAGTGATCAGTCGAAATCTAAGCTTCTGTCTTCTCAGATAGGTCTAATACTATTTAAAAGTCACCACAAGGTTGAAAGGCTTTGTGGCCTGGGCGAGTAATCAGGAACCGTTCAAATACCCTATGATGCTGAACGAATGCTCAGCATATCCCGAGTTGGCATTGACCTAGACGTGTTCTTCCTCTTCTTCTGACTTCCTAGGAATAGATGTCTTGTTGTTGTTGTTGTTTAATGTTTTAAAGGCACTCTAAGGTTGCTTCAGAACCGTTTGTGATCCTCTGACAAAGGTTGACTGTCGAAAAGAAGGGTATTTCTCCCAGGGTAGCCACTAAAATTGACTTCGGAGAAGAGATGGAGGTGTGTTGGAAAAATGAAGCATCCCTCAGTTTACTACTATACTACTATTTTGCAGAACTTCTGGCAAGAAGCTTCCCGGTATGAATAATCGACTATCACCATTTGCATGACAGGATATTATCCTAGCGTGGGCCCGACGGCAGCCGGAGTGATGATTTTCTTCGAAGCAGCCTCTGTGATCCAAGGACAACCCTCTGCAGAACAGCTCCTCATTCTTCACAATGCTTCTCCAACGTGCCGTCGCGATATTTGTGGTTTAGCTTCCAACATTCCTCTAGCGTGCATAACTCGTTCTGAAGATCCAACGAGATCCACGTAAAGCCGACAACTGCCCTTTCCCAAGCCTTTTCCTAACGGAAAGAAGTAACGGAGTGCGATGCGAATAGCTTGGCAGCCTGAGAATACAGGTTCTTGAGTGAATAATGTGTGAAAGGGTCCTTGAGGGAGCTGAACTAATTACAACTCGGTGGACATATGGTAAAGGATAAAAGGATCGAGTCTTTTGCCGTTAATCAATCCCGACTGAGGGATGCACCCCCGTATTCGACTTTAATTCAGGATCGTGATGGCGTAGTGAATGTGCATGTGGCGCTTGCAATGACTCGCGATAGCCAGCCGATTTTCTACTCAGTGCTTTCATCCTCCCAGACGTGCCTGGTACCAATTGATCGACATTGGAGGGATGAAACGCTTGTTTGACCTAGGCGGATAACGATTTGGGTACTAAATCTCACCCACTCACCAGGTACTCACCAGGTACTAAATCATAGTGCTTGAAGCAGTGACACGCTTGAAATTTCGTTCCTGCTACCGTCTAAAGTCTTCCCTTTCTGTCTTATCAACAAGCCACAAACAACTATGTAAAAGTGGGTCATGTATGGTTCCAGTCAATGGTTATGCTTGGAGTCTTACTGGATTTTCGAGAATCCAGTAAGACCCCTGTTTTGAGTTCTATAACGTTATGTAGGCAAATAATTCAACAATGTGGCTGGCATATATAATCTCAGTTGATGATGGTTCTTGATTCTTTTCATTAAAAAAATGGCCCGTCAAGGACAACTGCACTCTCGAAAATTCGATTTTTTACCTACACCTCTACTAACAAACTCCTGTAACTTGACGACACTCATTCTTAGTTATCACTCCGTGGAAAGTTGCCGGAACCCAAACATGAGGGGACGACGTTTAGATGAGTAGGAGTATGATGTTGATTATTGTGCTTCTAATGAACGAGTAGATCGTACTTGTAATGGAAAGTGAGCCTTCATTCTGTGAATTGGCTTCGAAATGAGAACGCTAAACCACCCATTTTGGTGATTATTTGATATCGAGGACTGTAAGTAGAAAGACATTTTCTCGAAACTAATCAACGCTTCGGTCGGAATGTTCGTCTGGGCTATTCTCATCACAGGGAAATTTCTGAAGCATAAGAAGCTTCAAGTGGTCTTTAGACTTCTGGTTCTGAGAAAATAAGCGTATCTCAATACGAACTTTTCAGGACGATTCCGACAGCGCAACGTTCACTGGACACCTGTTGCAGCCCTCTTATGGCATGGGATGGAGAGGATACGTGTTGCCAATGTACAACGGGGAAAAAGTGAGTGAGAAAATGATGGTCGAAACTTGACAGAATTATTTCCAGTGACATAGTTTTTACGGTACGTAGGTTCGCCCAAGTTTTGTAGGACTTCTATCCTTCAAAAACTATCGAAAACTATAGACGCATTCCGTAATGACACGAATCGGAAGAGTGTGTAGCTACGGACAAATTCTGAGTGATCGGGCTTTTCTTTTGCACTTTGGGAAAACAGCCATCTCGGCCAAAACGTCCAAAATATCAGAGATCAATGTCCAAGATTCAACAGACCAACAACTAATTTGATGATCATCTGTTTAGAAATGGGCATCAGACGAGAACACCATTCCCTCTAGTCACGCTCAATTATTAGGAAATGAATACTTGTCACGAATTGAGGTATTTTTCATTACATACACCTCAACGTGATGTGCCAATCTGTCCCTCAGTGTAGTACTTTGTGATTTCGTTTGTTTTTGTACCTGTGAAGGGCAATTTGCAAAGAAAGCAAAGTGTGTGATTGAGATTACAAAATGAATCGCTCCTAATGAAGTACAAATTATTTCAACCTATCACAGCACACCACAATTCAAATCCGAATACCCTGGCCTCTTTGATAGAAAAGTCTCAAAGCATGGCGCAATTGCAGTGCCCATCATTTCATTCGAACCACTTTTCTAGCTTCTAGGGAGCCCGCAAAGCCTTGACCATGAAAGAAAGAGGCAGACGCTGATGCCACTCTGGTATCAGTACAGTGGCAATATGTGTGACTATAATCCCCTCCACATCACAACGGGCAGCGTAGCAAAGCCGAAGGTTCGGATCAAACGTAGAACGTGTGGAGGTTATAGAGCCAACCAAAAAAAGCAAATTTACTGCAACACACGATGTAGGTAGAGCTGAATCTCCGGGCGCTGAATATGAGACTAACTTGCAACGACCATAATCTTGGTAACCCTGATCGCCTGGGCTGAACTTACCGAACTCTAGGTAATACAGCTGTGCTTGCGTGGTTTCAAGTAAAACATTTTATTGGTCAGCAACCTAAAGTTTCGACGTTATCACCTCCTCCATAGTGTTGAACACAACCTGAGGTGATCTGCACATTGATAACAAACAACTTCATTCCTTCTGAACACTCCAGAGATGTGTTCAAAACTCATTTGAGGAATATTCATTGCTCAAAAAAAGTTCCACCGCGGTCTGTTATAGGCATAGGCGCGGTCATTAGCTGATAGAACTTTCTGCAGCCTTCTTTACACTTGAAGCTTCTAAGAAGCAATTTGCATTGCGGTATGTATGGCAGAAAACAAAAAAACATTATGTATAGAGGGGCATTCATTGGAGCTGCTCATTTTGACATTCATTCGTAGAACTTAGAGCGTCTCCAATGTCTTTCTTCCCAAACTCTTCTTCTGCTGTTGTTATACAGTGCTCTGTCTACCACTTAGCCTTCCTTCTATCGAGGATGAAGTGAGCGCTGCAATACAACAGAGAATTCTTTGAGCTGACCTGCAGGAGGTTGTCCTTTCAGTGCGTATTCCTAACAACAACGCGTCCAGCAGCTTACAGTCTAAGACCGACCTCACGACAAGCCGCGCATAGTAGGTAAATGCATTATAAGCCTTCTGGGAAAAAAGGTGATCGCGTGTGGTGTTTTTTCAGATGGAATATCGGACATAACCTATCACAAGTATATAGGAGGTAGCAGAAAGTTTCGTCCCCTAGCGAACCTGAGTGGATCCCATAGTTGAAGGGGACAAATTCGCTATAGGTATACGTGGGGTTTCGTGGTGTGTTGGTGTATGTGTGCCAGTATGCGTGTGTTGATGTGCGTGTGCGTGGGTCGGGTGTGTGGGTGTCAATGTGTGTGTGTTGGTGTGTGCATTTGCCTGTATGTGTTGTTTTGTGTATCGGTGTGAGTGTCCAACCGAATATTCCTAATTCCTGTACTTAGCGTACGCAAACTGAGGGTGATCTGTGTAAAACTACGCAGCATAGGTTAAGAGATAATCAAGTCACTCAAACACACGTGAATTGGACAGGATTCGGCTCATGACGGGCGAACTGCTCACGAAGTGTGTTTGGGTGTATATTTGGTAGAAAATTTATAACTCTGTTCCCATGCACCGCATCATCCAAATCCGGAAGGGATGCGGAAAGCATACGTGCCAAATTTAATTGAAAGGAAGAGGGCCTGGAGTTAACACCAGTGGGTCCGACACAGTATCAGATGCACTTGCGCTGAACACTTTTTCAAATATCTTGTTTTGAGTAATGTCCCTATTGCAGAGATCGATGACAGAAAAAATGAAGAGTCTCAAGGGCCGATACAGTGGTCAAATTCGTGATATCCTATTTGGAAAGTGAAGATCCAGCAAAAACGAGAGAAGGCTTTGCTTCATCTATTCCGTGGTTGTCATCAGTTATGTTGTTGTAGTTCATCCATGCTGTCAATTCGCTGAGATAAACATTTGTTTTGGGATTTTAGTCATGAAATGAAATTCCCACATAAGATATTGATATGGTACGGTAGAGTGATGAGGTTGTGGTAGCTTATCGGTGTTGTATCTCTCGAAAGACCTATAAAGGAGGGACAGGATGTTGTCGTTACATGAAAGAGATTGATTCAGTATGGAAGTGTAATGATGGGTACGGTGGTGAAATATCAAAGCTACATAGGTCAACACCGGAAAACTTCGTCATCCAATCATGTATAACACATTATTACGACATCATAGATAATTACTTTTGTATTGATCAACGTATGATTCGTAAGACGTTCATTAGCTCTGGATAAGAAATAGTATAGCATTGAAATTCAATAATGAACATTGCAAAAACGACTTGAAAAGGAGCTTTGGCTACTTCTGACTTGAATTCTCTGTTTTACTCGAATTTGGTCTGCCATTAACACCATTCACCTGAAAAGCCACCCACTTAATCGCGTGCTAGGGTCTCAGATATGCCGTAATTTCTATTTTTACACCCTAGGAAGGTTCACAGTGTTCTTCTTAGAGATGGGGTCATAGATTTAATGGGTCTTAGAAGTATGTTAAAGATGTAATGAATTATCAAATAAAATTGAACTTTTTTCGGGGGTTTACAATGAACAATCCAGGCAGTCGAATTTCCTGATACAAGACTGGAGTAGAAATTGGTCCTCTACCTTTTGTACTGATGTTTCTGTGCTATCCTCCCAATGCGCCATCTGACCATATGGGAGAGAATTTTGCTGCATAGCGTCAGGCCTGATCTACTCCAACACATGCAAGCTCAACATAAGGTCTCAATGTGAGGGATGACACATACTAATTGGCGTTTGATAACATATATTCAGCAGAAGATGCGCAATCTGCCCATATGGGAGAGATTAAGTTTTTAAGAGTTCCTTTCTAGAACAAGAAATTGCAGTTCCCAACAATATGCGGTCGTCCACATCTCATTCCATCATCTCTCATTTCCCATTCCGATTAGTTTGTGGCGTGAAGTGAGTCAGGGGCTCACAGAGAGTTTCCACTGCTTTTGAACCACCGTTGGGATCGTCAGTATGATTGCTGCTGGGGAGCGAATACAGACAATGAGTAAGCATCTCCCCCACAAGGCATAGTATATTTGTCTTCTATTCATTTGGAAGGATCAAATTCTGGGGGCCACATTCGAAAATAGAGCGTGCAGGAAACACACGTTTTTATCCACTCGCACCACAATCCTTGGTAACTCAGGGTCAAGAGAAAGAGCATACGTGGCTATATCAACAGAATCCCACCATACGTAGTAATGGGACGGAGTCCTCGCAATGATGCAAAGTATACCATTGATCTTGCTTATTTCACAGTAACACGACAGAATGGAACAGTGCGAACTAATATGAGAACCCCATAGAGGAAGGAACGCTCTAGGCTGCTCACGGTAGTGAATTTCACTACGTACATATAACACAGAAAGTCATGAAAGACACTTGTACAGATTTTATTAGTGTTTTCTATTTCGCCATATATCTCAGAAGCTATGAAGTTAACCATAAGAATAATCTCTAACTCCTCAGAAAAAAACAGTAAATAAACTTAGCGACCGATGATTCTATCGCTTTCCACTCTTGTTCCCTTCGCTTTGCAGTCTCCCATACTGGTCCGTAGTGCTCCTTGTAGAACTGAATGTAAAAAGATCAAGGATAGCCATATTTTGTTCGAGAATCCCGTGGAAGGCTCCACGGAGATTACTATATGTTATTTACTACAGCATAGAATGTATCGGATTAAGGTGGTGCAGATGCAAGTGGCGCACCATCACACGCGTACGAATCCCGGACCGATGCTAGCCTAGGCAGATCAAAACTTCCTTCTCTCCATATTCCTCAATTAGTACAAGACTTCTTTTGGGAGGATAAAAAAATTGACTTGCTGAGCACTTCAAGCCATACTAGAACATCTCACATAAGCATCCAAAACGCCTCTGCAATTCTGAATGGAAACCAAATGCAATGCGCAATTCAGAACGCGATTGACTTATCCCCGAAAAACTTACTCCTATAGACCATAGCTGGTGACGATGCTGGCTTCTGTTGGGACAAGGGAAATCAGTTCGAGAACATCTACACTCTCATATTATTACTCCATCTATCACGCGATTGATGTGAGAACGGATCGAACCCAAATTTTTGCACCTTCTGAATTTGGATCTCTTTATCATCGCAGAATAACGCCTGCCACAGATTCGTTGGAGCATCGGGATTCTTTTCAGGACCTGAAGTTTCGCACGAGTAAACAGTGATTATGGACTGACACAGTTGAAATGAATCTTGGCAAAAATCAAGTCTACCAGAAAACGGTGTGGTGCCCTCTGTATTTGGTGGACGAGAATACTCGAAAAGGCTTGAGGTTTCCAGGAGATTAGCTTCGTCGAAGAATATCCTCTAAAATGCTAACCACATCAAGATGTTACATACGTTTTACTAATATTCATTTGACATCGTGCTTTACTGGAGTAGGTCAAGGATGGAATAGACACTACCAGGCTGATTGAGTTATCCATCCGAGTTTTATTCCCCAACCGCTGAAATTTCTACTGAGTTTCTTTATTATATCATTCTGAGTCCCTTCTTGATCAAACAGAGAATCCATTCCAAGATGACAATAGAACGCGTAAATCTCCAAGGCGCACTCATCTCAACGATGTGAAGAGAGGATTTCAACTAGGGTGGAAGGTGTATATACCAACGATTCTGACTCGGTCACGGAAAGGTCTGATGTGTTCGGTAAACGTTCTCAAACACGTGTCACCCTGTTGAACCCTTTCTCTAAACTGGGTATGGGTACATTCACCCAGAACTGGATGAACCCGGCAAACCGTGCGGCGAAATTCGTGGTGGTTAAAACGACTTTGGCGCCTATCATTGGGACACGGGTTCCAAGTAGATTGGATAAGTAGGGCCAGCTGATGCTACTTATCTA